CTCAGCAATAACAAAAACATCTCTGCATTCTCAACCCTGTGTTCTGCACAAACCCAAACACAGCCCCATACTAGCCTCTGTGAAGAGAGTTAACTCTACTTCAGCCCAAACCAGCACAAGAACAAAGAGATCCTTCCCCTTCCCCTTTGACTTATGCTAAGAGCCACACGGAAATGTGACTATTTGAGCAACAGTAACAAACAAATGAACTGGTAGAGGAAGAAAAAGAAAGTAAGTCAATTCACAGTTGTATGTGAGAAGTCGGCATGAAAAATTGGAATTGGGTTTTCATAAAGTTTTGAGGGATTTCATTGTAGCCTTTTAATTTAGTATTTAATTAAATACTTTTAATTAATTTCATTTAGTATTTTAATTTAAAGCAAAGACAACTTCCCAGTTTAAAGGTGGAAAATATCTAAGAGAAAACACTATTTCTGAGCCATGGGCAGTCCTGCTGGGTGGTGTTCCTTGACAGCATCTCCTGTGTCTGTCCTGCAGCTGGCAAACAGAGTCATTTGGTAGTAGTGGAAGCTTCTAAATTGACTGTTCATATGAAAATGTTTACTTTCTCCTTTCCTGCAAAACTAATAGTGTCCAACAAGCAGGACAAAAGGAAGTAGGGTTACCCCAGCTTAAATGGCTGTTGTCCTGCATGGGTTTAATCTGTGCTGCTTTAGCAATGTGCATATGACATACATGAGGATGTGAAGCATGACTGGATTTGCCCTTGGTTTTGATTTTGTCAGAGATCTACCAATTAGGATTTGTTCCAACATAATGAAGTGGGCTGTTGGCAAGATGTAATCTTTTATTGATTCCCGAGGCTTGGCAAAATAGAAACACCAAAAAAAGGATGAAGTACACTCTACAGCCTCTTTGGATTTTCACTTGATATTTATTTCTGTAAGTGCTTATTTTTTCTACGTCTGTGTTCAGTTGTGCCTGATTGCATCAAGTATCTTCTCATATCTGTCAGCTCGGACTGTACTTACTCCTCTTCATGAACCTGAAATGCAATTGAGATAGTATATCACTGTTAGAAATGGAAGTGCTGATGCGTTTTAGAGTAAGTTTACAAGTAAATGACAAGTAAATGCCTCTTCACAAATGCTTCTGTTCCCTGGTATTATCAGTTTGATTCTGAAACAGACTAGCAGCAATCTAGCCAACCTCTGCCAGCTAACAGTACAGGTATCTTGTCCTCGTTCTAGATTATATATATCCCTTTGATAGCAGATGACTTCTATACAACCATGTTTCAATAGATGATGATGTTTGTTCTGAATTACACACACTTCCCTGAGCTTCCAGAATACTAGTAGCAGTAGGTAAGGTATTTCCAATGCTATGTGATCAATGCAGTCTCTACAGTGCCTTTCTCTCTCCTAAGGAGACATGTCATGACTTTTGGGACAACACTCCCTGCTTGAACATGTTCCCTGTCAGCTATTGCCATTATTGCCTCAAGACCCTTTTTTGTGAAACTGACAGCTCTGCAGGAACTGTTGAGCTCATCTTTGGGCAGTGCAATACTCTAGCTCATAGCAGAGCCAGAAGTGGCAAACTAGCACCTGACTAATGAAAACAGACATCCACTGCTTTACGAGTTTTGCACATTTGAGGCAGAAAGAGGTTACTGATAAGGTATAGGGAATAAACAGCAATGTTAACAGGTCTTAAAAAATAAATTACTCTTATGTTTTTCCAATTTCAGCGTTTATGTGATGTCATTGTACAATGTCTTTGTGAATCTATATGAGTTTCTATTATTTTGTAGGGTTGTAAGAATTAAAAGGAAAATATGCGGAAATTTTTTACTCTTAAAAGCTGTAAATCTTCTTTTGATCTTCAATTACAGTACTGCTTCTATGATACATACATGTGTGAGTGACCAGATATTCATGCAGTGTTAATGGAGCTCTGCTTTAGATGATGGTGCTACAGTCATTTATATCAGTCAAAGGTGACTTCATTAGTCCAAAATCAAGGCAGAAGTTGGAGTGTTCCCTCCCACAGAACGGTGGATACAGAGGAGAAGAGGAAGGTGTTGGGATCAGGTGTGATAAAAATACCAGAATTATAGAGTTGTTTAGGTTTTCTTCCTCTTTCCTACCTCAGGAGCTGTCCTCCCCATAAAACTTGTATGATGTTAAGCATGGAAGTTTATGTTTCAGTTGCAAGTGGAATAGATAAAGGAATGACCCAGCTCCTCTTTCTGTCATTCCTAGAAGTTACAACCCCACTCTTACTTGCCCTGGTTGCCACAAGTCAGGCATATCTAAGCAAAGGTTTGCTTTCACTTCCAGACCAAGTTCTTAGGTACCTGTTAGTTTCATCAACCTTATTTGCTACCATTCAGCTCGTGTGCAAAACCCCATAAATATACTTTGAATTCCTAATGACTTCCCAGCACCTAAGTGACTAATCACTAATATTTTCTTTTTATCCAGCTCTTCAAATCAATACAAGTTAATTGAAAGAAAATGTTAAAATATCTGGCAATCTGGTAATGCAGTAATCCCCAAGCTGTGTTACATACATAGAAATCTACATCATCAGAGGGAGAAAAAGGTGGAGTCTTTTAATATCCTTTGCAGAAAATACCTCCAAACCAAAACCAACCCACCAGAATCACCAGTTCTGGAAACTTCTGCTGCTGAGCACAGTGGTTAAGTGACAACATCAAGAGGACACAATATATTTTGTCTAAGCGTCAGACCCTGAATGTTAAAATAAAGGGTAGACTGAAACTACAGAAAATGCAGGAAACAAGAATTTATTCTAGTCTATGCTACTTCTAGATATGTAACAAATACATAACATCCACTACTGTGTATTAAACAATCACACTTAGCTGATACAGTGTGACCATACCTTTTTCATGCCAATATCTCTTGACTTGCTCCTCAGCTTATTTACTTGAGATTCAGCAATTTCAGCCCTTTCTTCAGCATCATCCAGATCATGTTGCTGTTTTCTGTACTTGGAGAGGTACAGATTGGCTTGAGCTTCCTGGTGAGAGAAAACAGTGCAGCTGATTTCCTCCTGTCCACATGAAATAAAGCTTTCCCTTTGAAGTGGGGTGGAAAGTGCTCAGGATGACTAGGTAACAGCTGTATGGGCACCATTTGCCTCCTGGAGAGCTGAGGTTGTTGTTTTACACAGTTGATGTTTCCAGTGATGTTCTCCACCTTAAGTGAACTGGGAGGCTCTCAATGTGCCTTCTGAGGGGCAAGGAGGAAAAAAGCCTTTTCTCTTCCTTCCCTTCCCCCTTCCATTGCAAATTATACTTCAGTCTTAGGATAAAATTGAATACCTTTTCTTAAATATAATCAACACATATGCTAACTATTTTATTTTACATGTAATAGAAATACATGTTTATATACAGGGTTTATACAAATATAAATACCAATATTAATACACACAAAAAATGTGTGTATATACTGAAAGCTTCTATGGACAAAAGATTGTGGGTTTAGAATGGTAAGTCTCTCAAAGGTAAAAAGATCCAAATAGTTACTTACAGCTTCCTCTGCTTGGTGCTTGTAACTCTTCACTTTTAATTGTAGCTTGTCAATCAGATCCTGCATCCTGGCAAGATTCTTCTTGTCCTCTTCTGACTGTATCAAAACACCATTAATTGGGTTGCTAGAGTAAAAAGGCCTAAAGCATCTCCCTCAATGCAGTAAGTATGGATGCCAGACATATTTTAGAAACTTACAGCTCAAAACACAAACTAGCCATATTGTGATCATTCAGATGAGAAAAAAGTTCTATAGTTGATCGAAGAGATGTGTAAGCCTGGAGGCTGAGGACTAGAAAAGAGTACTCTCCTCATTTATATGTATATAAAAATATATATAAACACAGATATGTAAGTGCATATGTACACATACATAGAGACAGAGTGCCTTGCTCAGGGATGAGGAGCACTCTTGTCATTATAAACATGTCATTATATAGTGAAACAGATTTATGGGCGAGCCTAAACCTACATAATTTGCATAATTTGAAGTCTCATTTGGAGGCATTTCTGGTAAAAGGAGCCAGTTTTAAGCTGTTGCACTCCAAAGCAGAAGGACCAACTCCTTCTGCCTGCACAATTTGTTCTAAGAAAACAACCTTCAGCCTCTGTGTACAAGAATCAAACAACAGGTAGGAGGCTAAATAATCTCCTAAAGCTGATGGACGGGCTTATCTTCTTAAGAATGCTGTTGAAAGCAAAAGGCTCAGTGCTCTGTGCTGCAGGCCTTTTTTGAAAGGCAAGCAGCAGCAGCAGCTGTTAGCAACCCTGCAGGCATTTCAAGACTAGACCTTGCTGCTCAGCAGTAGGTGCTGGAGCCCTGGGACTGAGCAACCCTACACTGAATGATGCATCAGAATCAGCTGAGTCCTTCTGGCTCCTTTTAGCAACAGCAGCACAGCTGAGAGACACCTGGGTTTTTTCTTCCCTTGCATTGTGAATAGCCATTGAAGCCTGTTGCATATTAATACTGTGCTAAACCAGTCCAAATCCCAGCAACAGAGGCTTTCTAACATTAGTTGCAATGGATCAGGCAAGATAACGATGGTCACTAGAACAGGTTGCCCAGAGATGTAGTGGATGCCCCGTTCCTGGAAGTGTTCAAGGCCAGGTTGAATGGGGCTCTGAGCAAACTGGTCTAGTGGAAGGTGTTCCTGCCCACAGCAGGGAGTGTGGAACTAGACGATTCTGTGCTGGTAGCCCTCGGGAGATGTTCCTCCTGTGTACAAAGCTTCCTACAATCAGAAAACTCTGGGTAATGCCAAGCTTCATGCCTCACTGGAACACTGAGACAATTTAAGACACGTTTCTTTGCAGTGACCTAGTGGTTACTACAGTCCTCAAAATACCTGGTAAGTCAGCTCTTTTATGCGTCTCTCAAACTTGCGGGCTCCTTTTTGGGCATCTGAGTTGCGACGGAGTTCGGCCTCAAGTTCATTCTCCAGCTCACGAACCTACAAAAGAAGCAAAAAACCCTTGCTATTATGCTACATACATATAAAGCAGCAGATAATTTGGTTCACAGTTCAAGAAATGCTAATTTTCTAGGTATCTTCCTAAAGTCAAATTTCAGGAACAAATCAAAATGTCACTGTTCTATTCTACATTTTCATAAATGTCTTTAAGCTGCACCACCAGTCAGAAGTGCAGACATATGCAAAGGCCAAAAAAGTTTAAGTGAAGCAATATTTGGAAAGGCTTTTGCTGATTTCAGACGCTGGAGTTTCTAATTGTTTTTCTAAATCAAGGGCTTTGGTCATCACCTCATTGCAGCTGGATGATGAAGGGGAAGCATACCTTCAAAAACTGCTCACCCGCATTTTGTGAAACAGGAAAGTGTTAATACTATCCCTTCTTGGCTGCTATGAACTTATCATGCAGCCCTAGGCTACCTACCTTGTGCCAGTTCTGTAAGCACGAGGCAGTGGTCTGAAGCTGGATCACAAACTTACCCTGGATTCCAGTTTCTGGATCTGTTTCTTGCCACCTTTCAGAGCTATTTGTTCTGCTTCATCCAGTCGCTTCTGGAGGTCTTTGATGGTTTGCTCCATGTTCTTCTTCATTCTCTCTAAGTGAGCACTAGTATCCTGCTCCTTTTTAAGCTCCTCAGCCATCATTGCTGCCTGTAAAACAACCACATTTTAGAGCAGATCTCTTATGCTATTGGATTATGTTTCAGAATAAATGATGGAAGATCAGTCTTGAATTATCCCCAATTTGGATTTTTCATTGTACTCAAAACTCCAGAGAATATCTTGTGTGTGCATATCTTGCCTGAACAGAGAAAACAGAAGGACAGAATAACCTGAGAGGCCTTCCCCCCCCCACCCCCCCCCATTCTAATGTTTTAAGATTCCACCCCCTCTGTTTGGAGATCTCGAAAGGTAGTAGCTTAAGACAACTGGCAGACAAATTCCCCTGCACAGCCATAGGTGGGAGCTGCCTGAGTGGCTATAAGAGCAGAGCAGTTTCTGCAGTCTGTGCTGGGATAGGCAGCTCAGTCTCAACATCTTACATAGTCCCTGGCCATTCTGAGACAGTTAAAAAGGATGCCAAATTGGCTCCTTCCTGCTTTGATGTTTGTGGCTGGCACCAAGAGCCATTTACAGATTTTGTACCCATCATTCAGCAGCCATCAAAAGACAGCAGTCATTGCAATCCAGGCTGGAGCTGCATCAAGGACAATCAGCATCTTCTCCTGGGCAGGCAGTAAAAGTGCTGTCAGGCAAGAAGCAGTAACGACCAGAGTACACGAATAGCTTGTCCAGCCAAGTAACTCATAGAACTCTTCAGTTTTAGCTTTCAGTTTATCTGCTGGTATGATGTGAAACATCAGCTGGGCTATGAAGATGTGAATTGCTCCAGGTCTGTGGGAAATCAAACTGTACCTGCCCAAATTATGTCCTCCCTGGAAGAATACACTCTGTCTCTCCTCCTGGGTTCTTAGGCCTTGTGTTTCTCCAATACACACCTAGTTCTAGGGTACCTCGTTTGAGATTCAGTAATTGTTGTTTCTCACATTAGATTCTATGTACACTGGTTGACCTGTTTGCACTAGTACAGCCTTGAAAAAAGGTGATGTGACCTGAGTATTCAGTAATTGTTGTTTCTCACATTAGGTTCTATCTACACTGGTTGACCTGTTTGCACTAGTCCGGCCTTGAAAAAAGGTGACGTGACCCGAGACTTTGAGGATAAGTGGAAACTGCATTCTTGGGGAAAAAATACCCCAAGAAAACAACCAAAGCAAAACATCAGAAAAACGTCTTTCCTCTCTTTTTACCTCTAGCCTGCTTTGTTTTGTAGTTTAATCCATTGCCTCCAGATAACCACGGAGGGCTTTGGCTGTATGAGCTCTGTAACAATCACAGAAATAGTGACCTGGGAAATACTTTCTTGGCTGCCCTAAGACATTGCAGTACTGAAAAGAAGTGAGCAAGGAACCAGCCTACTTACATCTGTGATTGCTTTCTTGGCTTTTTCTTCTGCATTCC